CTTTACTACTAATAATACTAGTTATAAATAGTAAGAAGTTAGTATTATATAGTATCTAAGATTATATTTACTAATTTTGAAAATTAAGAAATACTACTTAAAATATAATCGTAAATAACTTTTATAAATTACTAAAACTAAGATTCTTTTTATAAAGAGCTATAGTAAGTATCTACTTATATTACTTCTATATTAAGATATTTAGAATTAAAAAAGGTTATAAAATTATATATAGCTTTAGATAAAGCTAAGCTACTCTATTTTCTAGCTAACTAGTAGATAGTATTTAATTTTTTTCTTTAATTGCGCGCTGCGCTAGTACGCTAGCGCGCGCTCTTATTAGCTATGTTCTTATATAAAGTAGCTTAACGAAATACCTCATATTAGCTTACTACTATAAGTAGAGGCTATTTAAAATTTTAATATTTCTTACTCTTTACTTATAGTAGTAAGTTAATAAAATGTATTATATAGAGTTACTTTACGTATATATAAACTACTAATCTTTATAATTACTATAAGTAAGTTAGCTAAATATATATTTCTCTAGTTAGGCTAACTAATATATATACTTTTATTCTTTTAAAGATAATCTAAGAAGCTCTATAAGTAGAGTAATAAGATAGAATAAATTACTTTATCTTTTAGTAAGTTTTAATATATAGTATAAATTAGTTTTATAATTAAGCTACTAGACTTATAACTATATAAGCTTAAGAAAGATAAATATAATAATTATTTTAGTATACTCTTATTAATATTAGATAAGTAACTACTAATTAATATAGAATAAAGTAACAGTAGAGTATAAGTATATTATTTAGTAAGAATAGAAAAATTATTACTTTCTTAGCTATAATTCTTTATAATTACTTATACTTATACTAAGTAAGATTACCTAACTATCTAAAAAATAGATTTATAATAATTAACTACTATATAAGAAAGTGGAAATGCATTCTCTTACTAGATACCTAAGTAGTAAGTAAATATTTACTTATTATTAGCTAATTATAAATACTTTCTAACTTTAATAGAAGCTTATTCTCTATAAAGTAACGTCTTAAAGCTAAATAATATAAGATAAAGGTATAAGTACTAATTAGCTATTTAAGATAAGATAATTATAAAGATTAGTATTTTAGTATAGTAGCGTAAGCTACTAAAAAATATTATAACTTTAAATAGTTTAGAGAATTTACATTTTATAAGCTTACTATAGTAAATTAGTATAATATATTATATATACTTACTACTATTAGTAAGTCTAAGCCTTAGTAGGAAATATTAAAATCTAAAATAAAAGTAATATACGCGTATAGTATAAAGTATGATATATTAAAACTTTAGATAAAAGTAAATAAAACGCGTATAGTATAAAGTATAACATAATTACTTTTATAAGTAAGTGTATAGCTAATAGAGTTTTATACTAGCTAGCTAGTAGTATAGGCTCTAAAGGCCTTTTACGCTAGTTTTATAGAGAATCTTAGCACTATATATAGAGCTATTTCTAGATTTTATACTTTATACTCTTAGTTAATTACTATAGCTTTATATTATTTAATACTATAGCTTTAGTACTTACTTTATTTATAATAAAAAAGAAGCTCTAATTAGTGTATAAGTTTTTTTTCTTAATAGCTTTATAAGTACCGGAATTAAGTATTTATTACAATTTTAAGAAAGAACTTAGAAACTAAGGTTCTACAGGTATTAGCGTACCTAAAACGCTAACCTAATAGCTATAAGTAGTTACGTAACTTGCTTAGTGCTTAGTGCTCTTAGTATAACTAAGTAATACTAATTAAACTATAGAACTACTTAGTGCTTAGTGCTCTTAGTATAACTAAGTACTACTAAGTAGAGTAATACTTATTAAGTATATAGCTTAGGTACTAAACTCTTATAGCTTAGTATATTTAACTTTATATAAGACTCTAGTATTTAATCTAAAAATTATACTTCTTTCTTAACTTCTTACAATATTATATTATTTTACTAAACGTGCTATTATACTTTTATACTATTATATTAATCTTCTAATTATGCTAGTATACTAACCTATTCTACCTTACTTACTTACTCTCTAAGAACTAACTCTTAGGTTATCTAGAACAACCTTTATAGTATTATACTAAGCTTTAGAAAGTAAGTAATCTATATATTAGAAGTAGTAGTTAGCTCTATAAAACTATAATTTTAATTTTTTACTCTTCTACGTCTAAACAATTGTAATTACGCGCTGCTGCTTTGGTATCCAGATAGCGGTGTTGAACCACCCGACACGCTTGTACACATCTGTCCTGCCATGCTCATCATTCCACGGCCTAAGAATCAAGCCCCAGACAAACTCCCGTCCCGTCGACACAATTCTGCGTTCTGCGGTGGTCGCGAGGCAACGAGCAACGCCCATATAGATGTCATTTCTATCTATCTGTTGATCGCAGTCTATGCCGAAACCGGAGAAGTCTTCTGGAGACAACAGCTTCTTCGCGAACACGCTTGGACGAGTTGAGCTGACAGGGCCGTCCAACACCAAGACTCCACCGGTGACGCTGGAGAAGGGCGCGGTCGGAGATACAGGGGTGACGGTGCAGGAGAGGACGTCAACCATAGGGCTATACCACTCGCAAAGCTCTGTATGAAACGCGACACGCCCGTCCAAGGCCATCCATGACCAAGACGGAGCTCTGGTCTTTGCTGGTCGCTTCGCGCCATGAACCTGCCAACATAGTTCGTGCAACAGATGTTTTTTCCACAGACCCGCGAGATACGTGTCCTTCATAACATCTTGGAAGTACGCGACTATTCCTGCTATGGCGCTGAGTTTGTCCCCTTCGTTTGTCATCGAGCGAGTCGAATAGTCTTTGACAACATCTCTCCAAAGTCGAAAAATGTACGGCTGTGTCTCAGCCAACGATGAAGGGTTGTTGAAAGAGCTGATGTTGGCTGAGTAAAAGCTCAGCGATGGACGTACTATCTTGCCGCCTGGTGCGAAGCGAATGGTCGTCAAGCCTGTAGATGCACAGTAACCGTTCCAGTCCGTCCAGCCATGTATACCACGATCCATTTGCTCGCACTTTCATCCAACGGAGTTCTTGCCAAAGATCAAAAGGCGTCGTGAGAGGATGATCTCTTGCAAAGTCCAGGCTCTGTCATGTAGAGGTTCATGCCTGGGGCCCTTGTATGTTGGCAGCAGAGCAATGCTGCCGACGTTACCGTTCCCACAACCCACCGGTATTTCCAGGGCTGGCGGCAGACCATCCCGCACCTGAAGAAAGCCTTCAGCTGAACTCGTGGAGCAAGCGGCCACTATGGTGAAACATGCATTCTGGTAAATCTCGGCCATCTTCGCTATCTCCGTTCGCTTGTCGCGCTCCGAATCCTGTACGATACACAAGGCATCAACCCAAAGGAACTGCAAACCCATAGCTTTGGTAACTCTGACTGCATCTTGCAGCGTTTGCGGAAGGTTGTCGTACGGGATTTTGCGCAAGTGTCGCAACAGGCTCTTTTCGCTTGTAGTGACCGGTTGTGAATAGCCCCAACAGTAGCTCAGTGCTGCATAACGTCCCATTTCTCCATGCTTGGGGATGTATAGTCGAAGGTCTCGTTCCTCGGCCGAAATGTTGGAGAGATTTATCAACCTTGCATGAAGACTAGATTGGAGGCTCGCGCAATCGTCATGCCGATGGTCGCACTCCACGATCCACGAACGAATCGTACCGAAGGTCACTGGGTCTCCTCGATTCAACTTGGTGGTTGTCCGTGGCAGATACTTCGCCGCAAGATCACCTATAATGACTTTATTAGCTGCGACAAGGCGTCTAGGCTGTGACTGTACCAAAATTCGTTGTCGCTCGGTACTGTAAAGTGCCTGCAAAAACATCGTCCGGGGTGTTGATCATCAAATGTCTTCCTGATAGACGTAGCACGAAGCGAACTGCTCTTTCTTCCTCTGGCGTATTTGAGACTATAGCGGCGGCGCCCTGAAGTCGATTACGTCGAGCTCGTGACTTTTCATCTGCCTGATCTATGAAATCCTTCAGGATCCTGCAGAGCCTGCAGCCATCCTGAGCCTCATCTGTTATATTAGCCTAGGGTTTCGAGTACATTAGGCCTTTGGGTGAGAGCAGCCACGCGATTGGGCTTGTGTCTGTAACTGTAGTGGTAAGTAGACTCGCGCAGAGGGGACCTATGTACGCTGGAACCGCCATCACGAGAGGGCGCCCAGGTGATACGATGTCGCTGTGTGTTATGAATACCTATCCAGAGGCGGCCGCTCTGACAAAGCTTAGTGCAGATTTGTGTGAAAGCATATATGGTAGAGCCAGCTCTGACCATGAGTTACTGGGCATGCATAGATGTTATCGTGCTTACGTTGGCTGCGCGATCATTGATTAGTCGCTTAGCTACCTAGGTACCTGGTGTTACACACGCGACGTGTCGCTGCCTCGTATTTAACCAGCACGCCCAAATAGCTCTCAACCTTTGCCACCCACTCTATCTCATGAAGTCTCGCTATTTCCAAGGCATGCTTATACCTACCTAGGTACCTAGGTAGAACATGCAAATCGCAAGGTGTGACCGTGGCGATCAAAATGAACTGAAGATCGCGTTGAATGTAAAATGTATATTTCGGCGTGCGGAACTTTGTGCATCTACGTAGTGCTGTTGCCTAGAGAGGCTGGACGACGCTTCCAAACTGGAGCTTACCCGACCAATTAGGCCGTCAGCACAGCAAAAAGTCCTGCGCGTTCGAGAATTACCGATGCTACAACAATATGTCTAAGCAAGGTTTGTTGGCCTAGGATACGTAGCAAAGATCGAGTGGTGCAGACTGCATGTAAACAACCACCGTATACCGTGGGAGATACATTTGGATTCATCAGGTATGGGCAGTTGCACTCTACAGCTTGTAGTATCAAAGAGGTTCGGCCAAGATACATTTTGTTAGCATCTGTTCAAGTGCTATCGCTAATTTGAAACTCCTGTCGCTAATTGGTTTCCAAACTCGCCAACGCCTTCTTCTTCTGTTCCTCGCCCATAGGTCGTGGCAGCAGCTTAGGATTCGGGTGCCACATTTCCTCATCGGTCGCCTTTGACCCATCAGCATCCTCAAGTTCTGGCGTGAGCGCGCGGTAGTCTGGAGGTACGCGATCCAAGAATGCCTTCACAAGTCGCGGACTCAGTCCAACAGCATCGAGAACGGCGCGATCCGCCGACAGGTTTCGCAGAACGCCATCTTTGCCCAGGGATATGACGCTCAGAGCGAGAGGATCTTTGTTAAATTTGGCAAGGATCGCGGTGATTTCTTTCTGATCGGGTGTGTTGCGATCGTATGTGTGGGGTGGATCTGATGGCGTGGGCTCTGATGGAGTATCTGTACTCATTTTTGATGATAGAAAGCAAGTGAGGTAGTGTTTGAGTTGTGTGGGTGAGTTGTTGCTGCTCAGTTTGCAGGTGTGCTGCAGATAAGCATTCCAGAACCGGTGAACAGCCACACTGACAAACCGCATCATGTGTGCTGATCGCGATCATGTTGGCACTTGGCAATCCAACGAAGGATCTCCCGGCACGTCATACATTGGCGTGCATACGTCGACGAGATTGGACAGTACTCAGTAGGCTAATTGTACATGAACCAAGGAGGAGGTTGTGAAGAGCCTAGTTGCGAAAAACTGGAGTGGTTGTGGACGTATAAGTCTTGAAATAAGTCACATCACTGTCTAATTTGTTATCTTGTTATTACGAAAGCTTGGCAACAGAGCTGTTGAACCGTGATATCACTAAGAGGTTTGCGTACTTCATCCCAACGCGCCCATGATTGATATCAGTTTAGCTAAAGACGCGATGAGAACAAGGTGAGTGAGAAGTTGCATCACAACTACAGAAGCACCAGGCCGAAAGAAAATTGGATGGGCAGTACAACAGATAGCATTTTGCATCCTCAAATATAGCACTATGCCAATGATCAAGACAGCCTGGTATCCCGCAACGCCATACGATGCGCAGCCCATAAGCTCTTGACCGGGATGCGCGAGAGCCCAAACGCCAATACAGATACTCTGTACAAATATCATCATCTTCGTATACAATCCATGTTCCACGTTCATGCGCTGGGCCCACTAGCACCAGGAGCAGCATCCGCCTCATTCCTGTTTTGCGCACTTGGTTGCACTGAACTCTCATCAGCTCTTTCTCTTCTCGAGCGACCACTGAAGACATCGCTTAGTCTGGCACTAATGCGCCTGTTCCTCCTGTCGCGCGCGCCGTCGACGTCCTCGGTACTAGCATTTGCACTGCCACTTGCGACATCACCGCTTTGGTTCCTCCGTTGTTCTCTTAGGCGTCGTAGAGCAGAGATGCGCTCCTCGGGTGAGGCGTTCGGCCGTTGACGCAGGGACAGGATATCGAAGAGCGCGGTACGGCGACGGTGGGATGTGTCGCCTTCGGGGTTCAGAGGGGGAGCAAGCTCATCTTCTTGCGAGCCGGTAGAATCACGCGAGTTGACTGGGCGGAGGTCGACCCGGCTGGTAGACATTAGTACAATGTTTGTGTGTGTGAGGTTGAGGAGTAACATACCATAATGGACACGTGCCGGATACGTTCAGTAGCCACGGGTCCACGCATTCTGGATGAAACTTGTGGTCGCATGGAAGAACACGAAGATCTTGGCCCTTTTCAAAGTCTTCGGTACATATCGAGCACCCGAGACCCTCATCTGGTGAAGCATTGTCGGTACCTGTCGTCGCACCTGCGGCAACAGGCTGTGCCGGCGCGATGCCGGATTGTTGCTCTTCCGCGGGGTCCGATGTTACGACCTGTGCTGTCTCGATCGCACCAGATACCGGCGCTGGAGCCGTATCGTGCTGGGTCGCAGCTGTTCCTCCGCTCGCTTGCGCTTCCGCGTCCGTGTTCACGCCATTCACATCCCGTGTTTCTGCCGTCGATCCCAGTTCGACATCAGCGGGTTTCGCCGGCTCCTTCTCGCCAAACTTGACGATGGGTATGGTATCCAGTATAGCTCGTCCCAAGCCCCTTGCCCTGCTTTGCCTTGGTCGTCCGAGTACGTTTCGAGGTCCGTATCGTTCGGGGTGACGATGCGCGCGAACGGCGCCGGTGATGATGATGACGAGGAACAAGGCTGTGATGATGCCGGTGATACTGTATAGAATGATCATGGCGACGGCGGTCGAAGGCGATGGTCCCAACGGGTTCTGCTGGTATTGGCCGTTGCCGGAGTCGTTGTTGCCCTCGTCCCGCGCCTTGACTTGAACGAAGTATTTCATGGCTGCCGGCATGTCGATGATGTCGTTGCGCACCTTTGCCGAGTCTGCTCTGTTCGTCATCGAGTATATGGCGAACTCGTCCATCATGACCTGTGTCTTGTCCTGGGTGTAGTTGCAGTAGTCTGACGTCCTGCTATACAGTATGACTGCCGAGATGTTGCCTTGCAAGTAGGTTTGTTCGAAGACGCCCTGCGCAGTGTCGTAGCCGTTGTAGTCGGTGGTGTCGCAGCTGATGTATGCGATTTCGTCATTGGATATGCCGACGACGCTGGTGTAGTTGGTATTGTACAGATTGCCCTGGACCTAGTGCTTTGTCAGTGCATGAAGGCGATGCGACGAATAGTGTTTGACGAACTGAGTTGGCGGCATCCTTAGTCAATGGGATCAGGTCGGCTATCCTGGTCCCGTCGTCGCCCTGAGCGTTAGTGAGCGGCAGAATGCCGTCGTAGAGATTTGTACGCGCGGTAGACGTGTTAGACGAGGATATCGTGGCCGTGGCGACGGTCGCGAACAAGAGCCACGCCAATCGCGACGGCAGGCGGCGCGGTCGCACGAGCAGCATCTCAGGGTCTATGCTATGTATGATGCAACACTGGGTAACAATATCGCTCGCTCAGCAGCGAACGGCTGACCGTCGGCCTTATCGATGACCAGCACACCAGGCCCGGCGCCTCATGGAGAGAAGATCTCGAGCGCGGGGTGTGGCTTCCGCTGTCGCGCGTCTTTGGCAAAGCCCAGGCGGTTCAAAGCGAGTATACGACAAAGCAAATCCCGCGACTGCGCACTACCATTTCGCGCGCGAACACCAAACCGCGACATAGAAATAGACGGGGCAGAGAGGGTCGATTGAAGCCTCGACGGAGAGGCGCGGACTGCCATGGCGTATCGATTGATCTTCACACGCCCGCTGACGCCGGCGACCCACTGTAATCTGCCACTCCGAGACTGCCGCACCATGTGCGCGCACCCTCCTCTCCAATCCTCCCACGTTTGGATCGCCCGGGGGACCCACTCCATGCGCTGCGACTTGCGGACTTCGTCGCATCGTGACCTGTAAGATATACCCGCCTCACTCCGCGCATCTCGACTTCGCACGCCCATCGCAGAATGCTGTGAAGCCGTCGTCACCTGCATGGCTGAGCAGCCTTCACGGACCGACTTCATGGTTCTCTGAAGATATAGGCTTCACGTAGACGACTATGCGAAACACGATGTTCGAGCACATCCCGATCAAGTTTCTGTCAGCAGTCCGAGTTAGGAGCTCATGCATATACTTTCTCTGGTGCCGCACCGGAAGAACATTGCACGCTGCATGGGCTCATCATCGATCACCGCTTGACTTGCGTGCAGCCCAATATGAAATATACTTCACAGATCAACAGAGCATCTTCATGTTAGATTACGTGGCAGTCGTGCCACTATTTGTGCGTTTCATAACTAATTATTCCCAATACAAAGTTCTCCTCAAACGCCTGCGCTATGTACCTTTTGTGCAGAAACCTGCCCATTGCAAACACTCATTAACATTCTTCTAACCTCCCCCTTCCATACTCAATATCAAAATAAAGCTTTTCAATACGCCACACCACTGCGACCTCTTCCAGATGTCTTGAATGTCATAGACTGCACCTGCTGCTCGACCAAACCCCCAAGCGCCAGCGTGTCCATCGGATCGACGCCCATCTTCTGGAAGTCGTTGAATCCGGAGAGGTAAAAGCCGGCAATGACGACAAGATACGACAATATAAGGATAGAGCCCTTGAAGTAGTTGCTCTTACCCTCGCCGTACATGTACGACAAGAGAAAGACGCAGAGGATGACGGTAACCATATCCCATTGCGGGAAGATGAGAGTGAACGTCTGGCTGGCAACGTCCTGAGCGGGAATGTATCCAGTGTGGATGGCACTGTAAAACACCAAAGCCGGAATCTGAAGGAGACACACTTGGAGAGCGTATGCGGAACCAATCTCCATGGAAAGCGCAATGTTGCCGTTCATGGCAAATGAGATGGCGTTCAGGAACTCAGTCGTGTTGGGAACCAGTGCAAAGAGTGTGATACCCAGAAACTTCTCATCAATGTCAGAGCCCTCGAGAACACCATCAACGGTATTGACGAGAATCTCTGCGATGATGGCATATGCGACAGTAGCAGTCAACAGGATGGCAGCACTCTTTTGACGGCTCCAGTTTGGTGCATCGTGCCCACCAGAGGCATGCCCAGTCGCTGTATCAAGCTCCTCAGGTGCAGCTTCTGTGTTCGTTCGCGTGTGAACGGGGCGTTCTGCATGCGCTTTGGTTGATGTATGGGCAAGTTGCGCTGCCTTGCGTGGAGCCCTGGTAACGTCACGCGTCGCCAAAGCGGTCGTCGTTGCCGCGATCTCTGTGATTTGTCGCGCAAGTGACTCTGCAGCATCATCTGTAAGTCCCTCGACGTGGAAAGAGTGGTGCGAGACCGCGTCACTCTCTTTTGGCGGTACCATGTGCGGTGTATTGCTATCCGATTTGGATCCAGGCCGCCCGGTGTCTGATGCAGTGTGCTCAGGTCCAAGCCCAACTTCTTGCAAGGTCTGGCTGACCATGCGCTTATACAGCTGGCTGTCGCGTATGTGCGCACGAGATATGGAGTTTCCTGTCGCTTGCCTGACGAATGAAGCATGTGGGAAGTCCATGTGCCCGCTTTGACTGAGACTGCTGGCGCTCATCTCGAGTATCTTCTTCTCTTGAGCATCTGGCTCCGTCCAAATTGTCGCGGCATGGGTACGAAGGGTGAACAGAAGACCAATGATGTAGGAGAAGAACAGGAGAGTAGCCGCAAACCAGGTGTAAGGCTTCACAGCTTCGTTGTAGAAGCGATCATTGAGTGCTGGTGTTTGTGAGTAGTAACATCTACGGCAGTCTCGCTCAAGGGGAACGTGGTGATTTGAGTGCACGCATGAGTGGCAGTTGAGTTCATGCTAGATTAGGTTAGCACAAGATCAACGTGCAATTGGACCATACTTACGCTTCCATAGATCTGGTAGAACAATGTCGGACCGAAAGCGCCAATGACGGCGAATAGGAGCATAGTTGAAGTGACACCAGCGGATCGCACATTGAAACGCTGAGTCTTACGCTTGAGAGCACCAAAGCACATGGACAGGCCTGGTAGGAACAGAATACCTGCAAAGATACTGCCGATGATACTACCCTCGACGAGTTGAGCTTTGCCTTGTTTGAGGGCTACGCAGTACAGGAAGACTTCGACGACAGTAGAGAAGAAAGCGTTGATAGTAGCGCCAACACCCATGGAGGACTGAGCTGAGATGGAAGCTACAGCCTGACCAATGAAGTATGCCAACGGAATAATTGACAGCAGTGCTAGGGAGAACAACAAGAACTGGTCCGTCAGCCAGAACTTCATCTCCAAAGCTTCGGCCAAGACGAAGTAGTCGAAGATGGTGAAGGCGACCAGGCCCAGGAGGTTGATGAGGAAGATGTTGGTTCCGTCAATAGTGTACTTCCAGTACTTGATTCCAACTGCGCGGTAGGTACAGAGCAGGATCGAGGACGACTCTCCGGGGCGGCGCACGTTGCCGTTGTCGGAGTGGAACGAGAGCGCCAGGGGATGGCGTCGCAGATGGTCGAACAGCAGCAGGGTAGTCTTACCCATGGGAATGGTGAAGACGAGGAACCAGCACAGAGCTGAGACGAGGAACAGCGAGGGTGTGAGGAAGCCGTAGAAGAACAAGAAGAAGACGACGCGGCCAAGATTCCACTTGCCACGGCCAAAAAGCCTCCTCTTAGTGTTGGCTGTGTCGGTGTGGTTGACATTGGCACGTCCATCTCTGCCGAGGAGGCTTGTCGTCTCTCCACCTGTGGAATCTACGCTGTTGCGTCTGCGGCCAATCAAGGAGCTTGTGCCGGTTGTTGGGCCGAAGAAAAGGCGTCCTTCTTCGATGTCGCCGCTCTGCCACTGCTCGTACTCGCTGATGCTGCGACCCTCGCCTTCGTCCTCTTCTATGTAGGCTTCGTCCTGCATGAGCTTGACGTATTTGCCGAAGGGGTAGAAGAGGTAGCCAGCAAGGGCGAAAAGCAACTGGGAGTACTCCTTGCAGCTTTCGTTGAAGCCCAGGAGCGCGCACAGCAAACCACCCACCGTAGCAACAGCAGCCAGCCACCATCCGAATACGAGGGTCCATACGATGTTGAAGAGAAGCAGCCATCGGCTAACAAAGAGGCCTGGCGACGAGTGAATGTCCTCTTCAGCATTGCGCTGTACGGACCGGCCTTTCTTGTAGAGGGCAGGCTTCCAGATCCTGATACCGAAGGGATGTGTGACGTTGATGGCGTCCTGGCGGTCGCGCAGGGTGAAGCTCTCAGCGTCGCTCAGGTCGTCGTCTTCGTCGCCGCCGCCGCTCTCCTCCTCCTCTGCTTGTACCGTCTCCTCGCTGGACGAGGGCGTCGCGTCTGCATCGGCGCCGGTCGGAGGGCCGGCGTTCTCCTGCTCGACCTCGTCGTCTTCGGTCGAGTCGATGGTGGCTAGGTTGGGCGGGGGCGCGGCGGTGCGGCGGCGGACGGTCGAGGGCTTGCGGCGCAGTGTCTGTCGCTGTTTCTTCTGCTGGTCCTGCTGGGCCTGGTCCAGCTCTACCTCCTCTTCGGCGTCGTCGACACTGAACTCTTGCCCCTTCTGCGGCCATTTCGACGACGTGGCGCGCCGGCTCATGGGCGGCTTCTTGGGCTTGGTCGAGCTTTCGTGCGCCGTCGCTGCGGCCTGCTGGCGGCGCTCGATGCCGGACGTGATGGAGCCTGCAGTGGGGTCAGCATCGTGATATCTTACCTGGGTCGCCAGATGATGGGCCTACCATAGCCAGAAGGTTGCATCGCAGCTTGCGGCCGTCTGCGCGCCGAGTCGCTGGGCGTCGCGCTCGGGGTGGGCGTGTCGCTGCCGGTGCCATAGGTGCTGCTGCGGCGCGACGTCTCGGGCGACGGCTTCGCTTTACCCGCGGCGGGCGTGCGATCTTCCATGGTGGTGTCGCTGTGCGAGGGAGCTGTGAGGTTGGGCAAGGGCAGGCTGTCAGACTATCTGTAGTTCAACCTTGTTTTGGGAGCTGCTGTGGTCACAGCTCAAATGCTCAAACTACGTAGCTCTCCGCACAAGTCACGATTCTGCCGCCGTACGATGACAGCTATTAGGGAAGGGCAAAGATGCATTACCGCGCTCGTCGTGCCCCTCTGGAGTATGCGTGTGGGTGGGAGAAAGCTGCAGATGACCCTGTTAGACGTCCCATTCCCCGGCGATCCATGACTTTAGCGCCCAATGTCTCACCCTGCTCCAGATAAGATAACCACTACCCAGGCAAGGTGCACGTAATTCACGGCTTCCGCGGCAACTGAATGTCAATGTCAAGAACCGCCTAAAATAACGGTCGCTGTTAGTGCTATTCTACAATGCAGAGCGTGGCGGTGCCGGCATGATGTCATCTGAGCTGTGGCTGGAGAAGTAGTAGGTACTAAGGTAGTCTCCTGCACCCCAACGTCCCAATCCCACACCCACCCAAGACACACGACATAAGAAAAGACATCTGCTGCTGCTAGAACAAGGCGCGAACGCCCAGATAGCTAGGTCCTTTGCAGTCTAGAACAACGAGCATTTCGATATCTACGCCTGCATGCGGCTCCACGCACTAGTGTCCTCAAAGGTTAGCCTTCAGCCCAGCTCGAATGTCACATGCGTGTCGTCGGGCACGTGTACCACCCTTGAGCTGGCAAATATTCCATCGGCATCTGGTCCTACAGTACGGAATCGGTTCGCCCGATCATTAATTGAGATGTAGCAGCTTCTTATACAGTATCGCTGTAGAAGCTACGGGACCAGTCCGCCCCGTCATCTAAGATGCTGCAGTCCTGCCCAGGTGGAGCCGCGAACCCCTCATCCGGCACTAGGCATGTACACCAGTCGTGTCGCAATTCACAAGACATCGATGTATGATGGAAATTTCTATCTCTATCTAGGTAGAGGAATACGTTGCCTCGGGATGTATCTAGTGGTCAACATTTAGTTGTATGTATTCAGCAACACATGCGTGAATCGAAATCTGGCCGCGCCTGGTGCCAGTAGCGCAATGCACTGGTTCAGCCATAGACGCAGCCACAGCTGGGGTACGCTCAGCCGCACTCAACCAGAATTTGGATAATGCTTGAAAAGGCCGGCCTCCCATATGTTTGGATTGGTTTCTGGCAGCCGACCTCGGAAGTCAACCCCTGACGTCTCTCTTTACTTCCTGTCGTCTCAATCGTACCGAGATATGGACCTCCTGAATATCTTCCTCGTAACCACGAGCGTTGTTGCATTTGCCTACACCGTTCATTTTGTCTACTTGGACAGTGCACGCCTACGGGGCGAAATTGTCGAAGAAGCTAAATCAAGGAAGCGTGCCTGGCATCTCCGAGTGGGACCGGTCGTCTGCTCGATACTGGCTATAATTGCGTTTGTTCTTATACTGTTACCAAGGAACAGTAGATCTGAAGCCTGTTTGCCAGAAAACAACGAAATCAATCCGGATGTTGGGGGCATTGGTGTCCTGCTTGGCCTTTTTCTACCTTGTCTTGTACTCCTCCTGGTACTAATCTTAGGTCATTTCACAGCACATACCTCAGGTGCGAAAGAGCTTTGCATAGCTCAGTTTGCGAGTAAGTTGCGAAGAGCAATGAAGCGTATTTCGGGTTTAACACAGCATAGACTTGTTTTATCTCACAATCAATCTTGCCAAGGGGATGAGAAGATTGAACGCTCAAGAGCTTGGTATTGCCATATCCAGTGTTGATGCGGTCAGTACTTCGATGTCCATGGCATTCTCGGATAAGGATGTGCTCGCTGCGCGGAAGCTGGTCTTTTTTGGATTCTTGACACAGCTCGTTGCCTACGGCGTACAGGCTGCGGCTTTCGATGAATACTCGCGGCGTGACACTTTCCGCTGTAACTCCTCTACAACGAATCAGGCATTGCCGAAATCCTACTCGACATTCTACTGGGTTTACTGGTCCCTCCGCGTGGTGGCATCGATACTCCCAATCCCGGTAGCCCATCGTCTCACGTCGGACTTGAACAAGATTGAACATAAGAACAATAATACACAAAGCTCACGAGTCAAAGCCACAGCACTATGGAGGTCTCTACCCGCCACTTTAGCGACAAGTTATCTGATCTACGGGTCGTTCGTACTACTCCACGGACTATCTATCTACAACATTTTGCGCGGAACGAACACTATCGAACAGTCATGGCTTGCCTTGATGACCGAGTGGGGCCAAAGTGCCAACGCCATCATCGCCATATTTGCCGTCGGTCATGTCATATACGCAATCTATAGGCTGTTCGTTGCTGAGAGCAGGAATAATGATTCACAGCCTCCTGGGCTCAGTGGGCAATCAATCAGTGAGGCCTATCCCCCAAACGGCTGGAAGGCATGGAAGCACTGGCCTTGGAACGCGAAATGGTGGCCTTTCCATCTGGGATTAGACTACTTGGACCATCTCTTAGTAGACGAAGGTGAACTGCAACGAATCCTGGATCCGCCTCTCTACCTGACTGAAGAAGTATCAACAGAGCTTTGGGAAAAACTGATGAAAAGCTTTACTTCGACTGAGCCTGGCCTCGTCCTCGATTGTCTGATTCATGGAGCCCCATCAAATAGATGCAATGAGGAGGGCGACTATCCCATCCATCTAGCTGCCCGCAATAACGACATCGATATCTTGATGAGAACGCGCTTCACCTTTGATGACGATATATACAGCCGAGACTCTCTTCTACTTCGAAATCTAGCTGGCGAAACCCCTTTAGAGATCGCGTGTAGCGCAAATGCACACGAGGCCGTGAAGTGGATAATGGGTGAACTCCCACAGGGGCACGAAGAAACCGAAGCAGCCGTTACTCGAGCATTCAAACTGGCTATTGTAAATGAGAGGGAGGGACTCTTGAAGATCTTACAGCATCTGTGGCCGGAATGGAGAGCGCTGAAGATAACGACGGGAAAGACCTCTAAATCGACTCCACTGCGCTTTGCCATAGACGAGGGTAAACAGAAATCTGCCTATCGGCTTGTCGATCCTACCGTTACATCAAGAAGACAGCCTAATGCCCGCAAGATCTTCGACATGATCTGGAAGTCTCAATTGGCCGGTGGCTACCTAGAGATTATTCTGGATCACCTTCAAGAGCCTATCGACTCTATACGTACTGACATAATCGATGAAGTTATGGGTTCCCCTACAACTAGCAACGCCGAAGCTCTGGACATTCTGCTAGACCTAGGAATTGATATCCCCGCAATTCTTCGACAATCCATATGTCATGCGGTGCTCCCCATGACCCATCCAGAGCAAGCAGCCAACAACATATGGGAAGATATTCTGCGAGAAGACTACGCGATTGAGCCACAGGAGCTAGAATCAATCCTTGCCTTCGAAGTACCAGCGACCCGTAACCTAGACGACGAAGTTGAAGGACAGAAAGATGCTATCAGAACTGCATTGAGCCCTCGCGGCGCCCACGACTGGTCTGAGGTGGTGCTTACAGCGACGAATGCGTCAACAGAGGACCTGGAGAAGTTGATAGCGACGGAAAAAGACAAGAACATGCTGCAGCGTATGTTGAATGTCAAAGATAAGAGAGGACACTCACTCCTAAGGTTTACGATCTCGGAGGGCATGGATGAGGTCGTTGAGAAGCGAAAGAGAAGACTGAGATATCTCGAGACTCTTCTGATACGCGGGACCATTGTAGCAGAGCCGGACCTGATGAGTGCACGTGAACTTTCGTTTCGTCACGAAGGGAATCTCGCGAGTTTCATGCTACTGGCGGTATATGCCGACCGAGATGTCTTGTCCGACTTCTTGCGCACCCTGTGTAGTGCACCTAGGGTCCACAATGGATTGGACTTCAGTCATTACGCCCTAATTGACATTCTGCTTAGATGTAACGCCGACCCAACACTCTTGGATGGAAGTGGTAAGACCCCTCGAATCGCTCTCCATGACGCTATGGCGAAGAGACCGATCAAAAAGAGCTCCAGAAAGGACGACAAGGTCTTCAAGAAAATGCAAAACACCAACCGTTTCTATCTCGAAAAGATCTCAGAACTTTTGCTGCGCTGGGAGAACCACATCAAAGGTTCACTCGGTCGTAATCCATTGGAGATGCCAGACGGTCTATGGAAAGCAGGACGTGACACCTTTGATCATGAGACATGGGCGTGGCTGGTCGCCAGGAACCCTGAGGGCTACAAAGTGGTAGAGGATTGATGAGAAAAACTGGAAATGTACTCGGAAGCCTACATTGCCTCAACACCTTGTCGGATTTTGGGTTTGATACGAATGTAGCCGGTAAAGCTCATGTTGATTTTTCCGTCCTGCTTGATGTGTTATAGATCTCAAAGCGTGCTATTATCCTGCCACGTCCTTTCTCCCGACGATGTATCTGATGGAGTGCCAACATTGATACATGGCGGAGCGGAGAAGGACAGGACGGAATGATCTTGCAAGACAAGATCAAAGCCATTCGGAGACTGATCGACATCTGGAGAAAGGGTTGGCATTACTATGTCTAAAGAGTGTATTCCGAAACTATCATGCGTCTCGCGTCGCGCAGACCTTACCGTCCATCCCCATCCCAAGCCAGTACCAGGATTCAATAACTCAGAGCTGAGCCATTTCCAGACCCGCTCTTCATCGTCAAATCGCAATCCTCTCCACCGCATCCTTCATAGCCCTGATCTGTTCCATCAAATCACCCGCCTCATTGCTAGTGAGGCTGACTGCCACAACCGAGCGACCGACGCCACAAGCCCGTCCCAGTGCCATTTTACTGGGCACATAGACGAACGGCACGTTCTTGTCTTCGCACAAGAGTGGAAGATGAAGTGTAATGGCGAGGGGCTCGGCGTCGCTAGCCATGATGATGAGCTCGGAGGTGCCTCGGTTCAACGTTTTGGTTGCTTCATTGGCGCCCTTGGAGATTTGGTGGTAGTGCGTGGCTTGCTGGATTAGATCTAGAAGCTTTTCGGCTAGGGTGGTGTCGGCGATGGGCCAGGCATGATGACATCCTAGAGGTCGAAAGGGGTTTTTGGGATAAGCTCGGGTTCACTGCTTGGCTCGCCTGTGGGTTACTGTGATCGTTAGCATACATACACCTATCAGTAATTTTGAACGCTTACACTGCCTTGCTCGCCCTTACCAATGTCGTAGTAGGTGGTGGGGAGAACGTTGTACGTGTGATGACGAAGGTCGCATTTCTGATAATGTCTGGGGCTTATCGATAACAACGGTATGACACGTTCCCCATCAACCGCGCGCCGTAGACCCTCACCCGCCGGCCATGTGAAGCGCGCGTCGACAAAACGCGTCGCGCAAACCATGTATCACCTCTTCAAGTCGATATATCTCCATGCGACAAGTAAGGAAGGTACGCATCCCAACCTTCGACGCATCCAGCGCACTGCAACTAACGTATCGCAGAGTACTCCGTCCTCCTCCTAGGCCTCGACAATGCCGGCAAGACGACGCTCCTCGAGCAGATAAAAGGCACCTACTCGGCCTCGCACCCCAACCTCAAGACCGTCCCCACCGTCGGCCAAAACGTCGCTACCATCGCCCTCCCACCTCCAAATCCACCCATCTACCTCAAGATATGGGACGTCGGCGGCCAACATAGCTTGCGCGGGCTCTGGCAGTCGTATTACAGCAGCTGTCACGCCATCGTCTTCGTCATAGATAGCAGTGATGTGGGCAACGCCACGCTAGCCGACATGAGCGCGAACAATGCTGCAAGCATAGAAGATATTGGGCGGTTGGATGAGTGCAAGTTGGTCTTGGAGAGCGTGTTAGCGAACGAAGATGCCAGCGGCGTGCCCATCTTGATACTGGCGAACAAGCAAGATCGAGAAGACTGCGTCGAAGTGGTGAGGATTAAAGAGGGCTTTGTGAGAAGAGTGTTTGAGGGAGAGAAGGGTGGAAATGTTAGAGACAGTAGAGTGCTTCCTTGCAGTGCGCTCACAGGAACTGGTGTGCAAGAGGCGGTGGAATGGCTATGTAGTAGGATGGCATTCAATAAAGAGGCAAGACCGCCGGTTATGAGGTAGTTACTGGTCGGCACGAAGTCATGAATATACCCCATTATCCGAACTACTAATCCGTCAAATGTAGTCAACCTAACCTGCAATCTAGGTCTAGCTGTCTTTTCGCATAACACCAACACTATCTCAGAGGCATCAGAGCGGCAAAAGCATCGGCTCGCAGCTCGTAGCAACACAGTAATCCTCATGCCGACACTTGAATACGAAGAATACGAAGAATCATGCTCACATCATGTCAAGATTGACACCGATGTCCAAAGATATATACATTCAAGCTAGGCTAACAAATCGTGTCGTAGTCTCATCATTCCACTCAAAGTCCAAACCACTTGAGGTCCTCCGCCTCATGCACCGGCACAGTGTGACCGACATTCAGAGCACTGTAACCCACAAGCTTCGTCCCATCACCATAGACCATTTTCGTGTAACCACTCTGCGGAGTGTTCGTCTCGTTCTTCGAGAACGAAACACCCAGCAAACCACTCCACTCCTTCAACTGCTCGCCCAAATTAGGAATCTTGACGAGCGAGTCAGCAGTTCCGTGCCAAGTCGCCATGCGAGGGTAAGTGCCGCTGTAGCCAGGGTACATAGCCTTGACCTGAGCGACCCATTCAGCCTGCGACTTGATAACCTGGCCGTTTGCGCATCGCGGGTCTGCGGTGCTGGGGCTGGCGCCGGGGCTGCCTGCAACACAGCCCGCTGCGACACCAGAGTAGCAAGATCCTGCGGCGATGACGTCTGGGTAGGTAGCCATCATGACGTTGGTCATCATGCATCCGGAACTGCTTCCAGTGACGAAGACCTTGGTGGGGTCGGCATTGTACTTCTTGATGGTGTACTGGATCATGTTGTTTAGGCCTTGGTTGTCGCCGCCAGCATCGCGGGAGAGACCCTTGGCTGTGTTGACTTCCCAGCAGTTGTTATCTTTCTTGGTCGAGGGGAAGATGTTGATGAAGCCTTTTTGCTCGGCGAGGCTGTTGTACTTTGTGGATTGCGCGTAGGCTTCTCCGGTGCCACCGCAGTAGTGCAGCTATTCAATGGTCAGAAAGACGATCGTTGTAAAGTGGACGGAATGGGAAGACGTACGGCGAGGATGATCGCAGGCTTTTCCGCAACCTTGGCAGGAACGTAGATGTTCATCTGAAGGTTGGATGGGTTCGCTCCGAAGTCGTTGACACGAGTAAGGGCGCCATTGGCAGTTGCGCAGAGCGCAGCAACGCTGCCGAGTACTGAGGTGGAGAAGTGCATCGTGAGTGTCGTGAGAGTCCGCAACACACAGTTTCCTGCATCCTCCTCCCCTTCTTATACCCACACCACACACTCATCATGCGATCGTCGCCAGAGCTAAACATATTAAGCTTGTTTCCCCGTGAATACTAGCCGACACAAACGGATGTTAAGGTGTCAATCTAAAAGTTCCGAAGCGAGGAGGCACGGCTATGCGCATGCGAGAGGATGAAGTTCGTGCGTTGTTTCAAAACACTTTTCCTTCTCCAATGACATGCGACCGAAACGGCGTACCTACTGCTTTCGTCGGACGATGGAGGTTTTTGTTCCAACAGAGGTTAGCCACCAGGGGAATGATGTGGAGTAACTGTGCGGGATCAGGGATCTTGGATCATTACCCCGGATGAACTCCCGCCACATATATTAACCTACTACCGAGCTTTGCTCCGGCGCACGTAACATGTGGCATTGCCTACTTTCGCATCTACGTCACTTGTTATGCTGGGTTGTGACGGTTACCGTGAGTGTTTACCGGGCACTGACACCTGACTGCAACCTTTCGGCGTGCCATTGAGCATTATGGTATCCATATGCCGTTATGCATCCCGATATCCGTTCCTGGAGCCAGCGAATATATGAACGTTGTCTGTTTTGAGGGTCCGCAGGTTGCGCAATCACGGCACTAAAGATGGGGGCTGACATGCGTTAGTATGAGGACGTGCCAGCGGCTACATCCGAAATTGCGTGAGACCGAAATCGAGCAGAGCAGCCATAGCACAAATGCGTCTCAGAATCGTTGTCCAATTATTCTATCAAACTCGCAAACGCTACTGGGTATCTTCTTGCGCTGTCTTTACAAGTTAGGGTGCGCCTCCTTCCACTCCTTGCTGAAAGGGTAGTCAATGTATCCCTTCTCGCTCTTGGGCACGTAGAAGGTATCGCGGTCGTAAGGAGTAAGCTCGATGCCCTTCTCTATCCGGAAAACGAGATCGGGTGTGCTGATAAAGTAGCGTCCGAACACGGCCACGACATCGCGGTCCTTGTGCTCCTCAACAATCTTCTTCGCATCCTCGGCCTTGAGTCCACCAGCGATGAGCAGCTTGCCAGAGTAGTGAGGCAGCAGGGGGTCGAGGGAGTCGTAGCCCTCAACATCTGCATTGCCAGATACGCGGGCCTCGACGAGATGGAGGTAGGCTAGGTTGAACGCATCCAGTCTCTTCATGATGTCCGTGAACTGAGGCAGAGGATCCTTCATCTTCATGCCCTGGAACTCGGAGAACGGACTCAATCGGATGCCGGTCTTGTCGGCGCCAACGGCCTCTACTACAGCCTGGGTGACCTCGACACAGAACCTGGAGCGGTTCTCAACAGAGCCGCCGTAAGAGTCTGTGCGCTTGTTGCAGGTATCCTGCAAGAATTGGTCGATGAGGTAGCCGTTGGCAGCGTGGATCTCTACACCGTCGAAGCCAGCCTCGACGGCGTTCTTGGCTGCTTGTGCGTAGTCGGAGATACTCTGCTTGATGTCCTCAACGGTCATCTCCTTGGGAGTAGCGTATCCCTCGCCTAGGGATGTTGCGCTGGAAGACTTGATGGTGATATCGTTCGCGGCAGCAAAGTCCTTGTTCGCTACACGTCCAAGGGCCCAGAGCTGGAGATAGATGTACGAGCCCTTCTCGTGGACAGCCTTGGTTACTGGTTTCCATGCGTCGATCTGAGCCTGAGTGTAGATACCGGGTACGTTGGGGTAACCACCAGATTGTTTCGAGACCAGGGTGGCTTCGGTGATGAGGAGGGTTCCCGGTACGCAAGCACGCTGGCCGTAGTACTGTGCAGCCATGGGCAGGATCTCATGGTCGTCGTTGACACGGAATCGTGTCAGAGGTGCCATGGCAATACGGTTCTTGAGCTCCATGGCGCCCACCTTGAGCGGCTGGAAGAGGCGAT